CTTTTTTTTTCCTGAGCGTTGTCTACACCTGTGCATACTTATTCAAGTATGTCACTACCCTACGTTACTTTGGATTAAAGTGTTAAGCAAGTTTACAGTTAAAGGGGTAACCTTTGCCCTGCAAATATCAAGCTCTTACAGAGCCCGTCAAGTTCTCCATCCTGTTCCATTCAGCTGGCAGGAAGATCTTAGGCTGTTTGTGCCTAAGAGGGCTCGGACGATCATCATTTTCTGTGTCTGTTGCATTTTCAAAAGTAAAGAATGTAAAAAATGTAAATGACATGCTTTTTGATGTTTGTGTTGCTGTTCTTACCTTTCACCAGCCTCTAGGATCCATAATCCGTATATCCATTCTAATGGTTTCCTGTGTTCTCTTGCAGTGACTCCTGGGCAAGTCATGTGCTGATTTGATCACAAAGGAGCCTGAGGAAGCCCCTTTCTGCTCCGTGGCCTGCTGAGTGTCCAAAGACCCTTTACTTCACTTTGGTTGGATTGGAGACTTTTTTGGAGGCGTGCGTCGGAACTGTTTTGGAACATTTATTACCTACTAGATCTGATCTTTGGAACTTGGATCTGCTGCAACTCTACACTGATGTTTGGGGGGTGCACCCCCTCTTTGGGTCATTCCTAGATGGAAATTCAAAGGGCCTGAGTCAGTCCAGAAGGCTGGATAGTTAGGCAATGACTAGTAACGACTCTCCCTGCCCGCAGACTGGGCCAGGTCACATGAATGGATACCCTGTTCCCCACTATGCCTTCTTCTTTCCTCACATGCTTGGTGGTGTGTCCCCACCAGGGACATTGCCAGGAGTACAGCACCAGCTACCCCTCAGTGGATATAGCACGCCTTCCCCAGCAAGTAAGTATTCGGTTTCTTTTTCCTGTAAAGTGTTGTATAGCTGTACATTGTCACCTGATTTGTGCTGGATCCTTTATTTATGTTTCAATAGAGAGTCCCTAGAGAATCTAAATAAGACCGGTGATCAAACTTACCAACGATCCCCCCCACCCCCTCACAACCCCAATGTGAATGCTCTTACCCTTGAGAGCCTTAAAATACAACTAGATATCTCCTGATTTACTAGTCAGACTCTTCAACAGGTCCCAAGAGCCTACTAAAGTGCGCAGAGCATAGCTATGCCTAGATGGAGCACAGCCATACCATTATATTCATTATATCTTGCAATGTTAAAGTGGACCTTGCAGTAACTTTACAAATCTGTTTTCAAAAATTCCTGATATGTCACATAATAGTGTTTAGCGTCATCAGAAAAGCTGCATCTGATATTATTAAACAGCAGTCCTTGAACTTTAGTAAAGTGATTTTGCCTTGGCTACGATGATGACATCAATCTGCTGCAGGTAGGAGGAAACATTTGCTCAGTCTCTTCTTTCCCCCTGAGATCAAACTGCAACGTTGTCATTTTGTAGCACAAGGTCAGTTTACGAAGGGGCTGATCTGTGTCTACATTGTCTCAGATCTGTGATTACATTCTTGAATACACCAAGGTCTTCTCTGATTCAGCATTTAAGTCCATGAAGTTAATGCGGACCTGAATGATCCCTGAACAGATGGTGTTGGCATTGGCAGGGGATGTACTATTTGAGAGGTAACAAATATCCATATGTGTTGCATTTAGCCATTACTAAGGAGGCTCTAGGAGAGAAAACAGGAAATATGTAGTGGAATCATATGGTGCCTGTATCAGGCAGGCTTTCCCCCCCTCTTCTTGACGCAGAAAAACCTATCAGGGATAGGAAGTGAGGATAAATCTCTCCAACCAAGAGAGACCTGTCAGATCAGAGGTTCTAACCCTTGTCCACTGTACTAAAAACAGTGGGGTTTTATTGTCATGTTTGTCCCTGTTGGTGAGATTTCTCCTCAATTCCTGTCCCAGTGACAGGAGACAAAGTGCAGGAAGGTAAGACCTTCTCTCCACTAGGGGCACAAAGGGAGGGAACTAGGGCTGTGGAAATTAAAGATTAATTTCTCGATTAATCGTTAAACTTTTTGATCGATTAAAATTATTTTGATCGCTAATGAAAACACTCACCTCTCCGCCGGTTTCCGGGAGTCCTGTCGGCGGAGCCGCTTGGGGAAGGGGGGAGGAGTCTGGTGACGTCGATGTCCGTGACGTCACCGGACTCCTCCCCCTTCCCCAAGTGGCTCTGTCGGCTAACGAAGGGAAGGGGGGAGGAGTCAGGTGACGTCGATGTCCGTGATGGCTAACGAAGGGAGGAGGAGTCCGGTGATGTCGATGTCCGTGACATCACCAGACTCCTCCCCCCTTCGTTAGCCGACAGAGCCACTTGGGCCGGTGAGTTTGCCCAAGAAACTTTCTGCACGAGCGCCAGCCAAGGCATTGGCCTATACACATACAGCACAGCAATGAAGTAATAAAATGAACTAGGATCACAGTAATCCAGCACGTTATTATTCTGAGTTGCCCCACTCAAGCGGCGGCCATATTGAGTGGGGCACGTGAGATTAATAACGTGCTGGATTAGTGTGATCCTAGTTCATTTTATTACTTAATTGATGTGCTGTATGTGTATAGGCCAATGTAGTTGGATCTGTATGTGCGTTATAATTAATCGAAATTAATCGATTAAAAAAAATGTCGATTAATCGAACACGAAAATTGTAATCATTACCAGCCCTAGAAGGAACATCTTTTGGGAGGGGAGGGAACACCTTTCCACAAGGGGCACAAAGGGAGTGAAGACCTCTCCACGAGGGGGGGCACAAAGGGAAGGAACACCTCTCCACGAGGGTCACAAAAGGAGAGGAACACCGCTCCACAAGGGGCACAAAAGGAGAGGAACACCGCTCCACGAGGGGCACAAAGGGAGGGGAACACCTCTCACAAGACTTGTGAAACACTTTTTTTTACTCGTAACCATTTTTGGTTAAGAGTAAACCTGTTTAAATTATCAGTATTATTGCTGTTATCTGACTGACTTTGTTTTGTATGTAGTTTATTTATGTATATGCTTGTGTTTTGTGTCTACCCCAATTTTTATCAAAGGGAATGTGTAGGAGAAAATATCAGACCTCTACACCTGTTAATGGAACAGAAAGAGCAGGCCAAACAGGATTACTCCTACATTGCTCTCATTAGATCTCTCAGTGGACACCGTATATAAGAGGTGGTATGATTATAGACACTAGGGTGGATAGTTTACTTGCTTAAGAATGATCTTATAACTCAACCAGTTCAACATGACAAAAAGCCCCCAACATGGAGTCTCATTTACCCTGTAGCAAGGCAAATATTGATGTTCCTTTTTGCTCTTTTTTTTTTGTCCTACCTAACCATAGCCTTAAGGGCCCATTCACATCTTCGCGTTGTAGTATCACGTATGTTTTACCATATGTTACCACAGTTCATGTTAACACATGAACTGCAATACAATTGTTTCTGACTGGCACCCCAATACTCTGTTACAGTAGTGGACAATTCTCCCACACTTTAGCGCACTACTACGCACCTTCCATGCATTGCAAAATAAGGTGCAGGTTCTTCTTCATGCATTAAGGTGTGCTACCAGCCCATTCACAATGAACTGGCTGCTTTAAAGTGTATGTAAACCCAAAACTGATGATTATTATGGATTGTCATTATTAAAACTAAAACCTTAGTTTTCTTAAGAAAATAATTTTTTTGATAATCTGTTGCCAAGTTTTTACCCGGAGATCCTTTTAATAACGGCACTTCCTGTTTCAGACTGACAACACTAAGCAGTCAGCAGCAGCGTTATCGGCCTGCCATGCATGATCTATAAGTTGGACTTTGGGCTTCCGGTTAGGTCTGTGCGTGTCTCTTGCAGACCTGATTGACAGCCTAAACCTGGCCATACACTGCTTTATTCCTATCCACGCTAAACAGTGTGCATGAACGATTCTCCCATTGGGCTATTGTATTCTGACAACGGCAGGGATGTGCCGCTGTCAGAATACCTGAACAGTGATGTCTAAAGTCAATGTTTGCCCCCAAATTTTCCAACTAAATCCTTATCGAAGGATGCTGAATGGAAAGTCGGCAACAGGGCCACTCTGAACAAAGTTTGGAGAGTGTTTAGCCAGCTTAACAGCAAAGTGAAGGAGCCCGCCTGGCAGTCTGATGATGCTGCTGTTATTTGTGAGGCAGTGGCTTAGTGTTGTCAGCCTGTAACAGGAAAAGTGGTTACTGGCGGGATCTCCAGATAACGGTGCAACGTAGTACCAAAAAAATTATTTGCTTAAAGGAGAACTATGGGGTCAGTGTTTTTCCCCATAGTTCTCCTTAGGGTAACGGGAGGACACAAACTAGCGTCCTCCCGTTACCCTAAGCTCAGTATACCGCGAGCTACGGCTCGCGGTATACTGAGATGCCGCAGCCGGAGCGGATCCTGACGTAGATGACGGGATCCGCCCAGCTGCGTGAGTGACAGCTAGCTCTGCCTATCTAGAGGCAGAGCCAGCTGTACCCGCCCCATCCCCCGTCCGTTCCGCCAGTCAGCGCTGGCAGATCGGAGCGGGGAGAGGGGAATCCAGCCCTCCCCGGTACCACAACCTGGTATGTGTTCGCTCACCTCCCGATCTACTGAGCCGACCTGTGACAGTCTCATTGTCGCAGGTCGGCTAGAACTATGAGGTGAGTGGAAATCACTCATCTCATAGTTCTCCTTTAAGAAAATTACTTATAGTAAGGCATCATGCCATACATACGGGAAAATAGATTTGGGGTCTACATACACTTTAATGCAGCGAGCCATCAACACACGATAAGGTATTGCATTAAAATACATGTGTTCCCGCAATGCATAGTGGGAAGGGGCCCTAATGGTCATGCCCTTTCAATCGGACTTTGTCAGTAACATGTAGTTTGTCTTTTCAAGATTTGTGCTAATAAGTCATTTCATCTACTGTTGCTTGTAGTATTCAGAGTTCTTGAGAGACGCATATGTTGGAGTTCTCTGGGGGTCCTCACAGGGGCACAAATGGCTCTGTTGTGATAAGAGGTGGGTCTTGGTGTCTCTGCATGTGATTGATTTACCTGTTCTGCTCAGGGGGGATGAGTACAGGAAATTAAGTCTTCAAGACAGTAGCTGAAAAATGGGCCACAGTTCATTTTAATATTACGGCAACTTAAATTTGCTTTAATCTATATCCTTCTCTCCCTCCCCTTCTCTCAATTCTCCTGTTTTTTTTTGTAGCCTTGTTGGATGGCCAGCAAGATAGCAATGCTGGCTTATTTTTTAGAACTGCAACTGCTGTGTGTTGCTGGTATGCATAATGTTGCTGCAAACATCATTGATCTCTGTGTTAAGCCAGACACGGCTCTATTTACTACAATAGCACTCCATGGCCAGTGCCTAAAGCTACAGGGCCAACACCAAGCTTTAAAATGTACAGATTGTATTGACATTTTCCATATTTTGTTTCCCTTTTCTTGTCACCTCCTGCTATTTTTTGGGTAAATTTAGCAAGGGAAGTATGGTGAAAGAGGCTGCAGGAGTCGAGAGGATGTCAGAAGGCGCTCTATAGTTAATGAAACCATTTCTCCATTATTTTGTTGTACAGCCATAGGGGTGCTTTCACGCCTTTGAATGGACCTGAGAAGGTGCCGTGTCCATCTCCTCAGGCCCTTGTTCTGGCCAGAGAAGTTGCTGTGTCTGTCCACCTTCATTTCCGGGCTCTCCTACTCCTTCAGGGAGCACAGGACCACAATGGACGACTTTATGATGGTGAGCGGGAGCAGATCCAGTAACTTCTGTTACGCTATCTGCTTTCTGATCAGTGAACCTGGAAGTGCTGTGCTCTCAGCTGTTAAATTCTTTACTGAACACTAGACAGCTGTTCAAGCATGGGACTGT